TGACGCCGAAGAGTGAAGTGTATGTAGAGACGATTGTACCAGCCTAGAAAACAAAAATCTGGATTAATGTGCACAGCCCACCATGTTGGTGCAGTTTTACCATATTTTACTCCATTAAATGGCCAGACTGGTGGTGTGATGCACATCCATTTCAAACCTTAGACAGTACTGTTCAAGCAACATATCGGGGGAAACGTTACAGCATGTGAAAAGAGGGCTGAGATGTACAGTGTAACTGGGATCAGAAAATAGGTATGAAAACAGCCTAAAATACTCTCTAGGGCTTTTCACACTGTGCTTAACCCCGGGTTATTGTTGTTCTAGACCACGCTTTAACCCCGGGTATGTGTCACACATGTAATTTAGAAACGTGTGAGCACCATTTTTTACCCGGGTTTTGAAACCCTGCTCTGGAGCATTAGCACCGCTTTTGTGCTGTTGACCCTGCATTGTGGTGCAAACCTTGCACAGTATGAAACGACATGAAGGTCCAAACATAGGAGCCTAATCACTCAGTCCTGTCAATGATCATTACAAGCCTATATAAGCAGCACTCATTGCACTGTTCCGGCATCCCTCCACCTCCCCATCTCCACCTGTATTTCTGTTAGTCTCCCTCGATGTAGTACCACAGTGGGGGAACTCTGAGGCCGAGCCTTGGGTTCGAGTCTCCGTCAAGGACAGCAAGCCAACTTCATTTACCATTAACCATTAGAACCGGAGGACAGGCGAACTCGTGAAACATTGTTAGAATGCTAGTCATTATATAAACAGTGACGCTGATAAGAACAGTAACTCGACACGCAATCTTATGAATGCCAGGGTTAATTATAAACCCGGGTAATTGATGAGCAGTGTGCCCAGGATAACCCAGGATTCCCTGTAGCTGTGTTCAGAATGACCCAGGTTTAAAGGCATATCATATGTTTTTGTTTTTTTACTGTTCTACTGAGTAAGTCACCGACATCTTGGATTTCCTGAGAGTGAGAAAATTGGTAACACTTTACAATACAGGGGCACTAATACGCATTAATTCATGCTTAACTAATGCACAGAGTTAATATAAAACTCATGAATAACTAAACCATTTATTAATAATTACTACATCAGCAACAAATGAACATTCTATATGATTCATAGATTAAGTAATCAATAACTTTTTATTAGTTAAATGTGTCAAAATGTATGAATTCCCTAATAACATATTATATTAACTAATAGTGTAAATTCTTGTGTTAATTACCACAATGGGTTGAAGCCATGCATTTCAACTTGCAGTTGTCTTCTTTAATTAATCATTAGCTAATGATTTGCAAAGATATCATTATGTTGACTTTAATTGTTTTCATGACTAACTAATAAACTAATTCAAAATCCATAACCACAATGACATATGAATTAACAATTAGTTAATAGTTCTGTGCCTCAACAAGTAAAGTCATAACAATGATATCTTTGCAAATCATACATTATACGAACTAATACATTATGACACATTTAACTAATAACAATTTATTGATATTTGTTTCTTCATGAGTTATATATGTGTCCCTGCAGCACAAAAGCAGTGTTAAGTCGCTGGGGGATATTTGTAGCAATAGCCAACAATACATTGTATGGGTCACAATTATACATTTCTCTTTTATGCCAAAAATCATTAGGATATTAAGTAAAGATCATGTTCCATGAAGATATTTTGTAAATGTCCTACCGTAAATATATCAAAACTTAATGTTTGATTAGTAATATGCATTGCTAAGAACTTCATTTGAACAACTTTAAAGATGATTTTCTCAATATTTAGATTTTTTTGCACCCTCAGATTCCAGATTTTCAAATAGTTGTATCTCAACCAAATATTGTCCTATCCTAACAAACCATACATCAATGGAAAGATTATTTATACAGCTTTTAGATGATGCATAAATCTCAATTTCGAAAAATGGACCCTTATGACTGGTTTGGTGCTCCAGGGTCACATATTAACTCGTGATTATCTGTGCAACTATAGTTAAGCATGAATTAATGCATATTTGTGCACCCGTATTGTGAAGTTACCAGAAAATGAACAGCAAATTTTAATTTTTAAAAAAAGTTAAACTAGTTAAAGCATGAATAGCCCTTCTGTAACAGCAGTGTGTATTCGAGTGAAAATAACCCGGACTAATATGAACTGAAGCCAGATGCTCAGCTCCTGCTCCAGGCTCCTGATCCCGAGCCCATCTGTTCTTCAGTGTCCGGTGGCCTGAATCTCTGGGTCTGCACCTTCTTACCTAAATGCTGTGTCGGTCAGTGAATGAGTGACACCTTCACAGTGACCTTCAGACCAACCACCTTCACCTGAACAGCAGAATCACCAGGGCCTTTCCCAGCAAACCTCAGTATTCAGGCAGAACAAGAACAGAAGCAATTCACACTGGAGATGAGCTTTGTCCAGTGATGAAAACCAAGAACATCTGAGCTTTAAGTCACATGTCTAGAGCCACTGCGACTATTTCACAGGATTTGGTGTGGCTTCACTCTGAAACCTGTTTGTCACGCTGACGGATCTGCGCTAAACATTCAGACGAGCATCTGAGAGCACTGAAGCATTACCTGTGCTGCTGTAGAACGCAAGCTTAGTTGTGGTGTGGAACTTCTGGATGAGAAACTGGGACAGAGAAATCTTGTCATCGGTGTTCAGCGACTCGTTGCCCTTCTTCCAGTAAAGCATAAGATCGTCGTCAGTGTACGCATCTGAAATAATAACACATTTAACCCGCATCAGCTGCTGCTAGTTCAAATAAATCACCGTCTTTGGTAGAAAAAGGGTTTGGCCTCTGCACATTTGCCCCACATGCATCTTATTTCTTCAGTTCAACAAAACCACATGCACGTGGACTATTTCACAGGATTTGGTGTGGCTTCACTCTGAAACCTGTTTGTCACGCTGACGGATCTGCGCTAAACATTCAGACGAGCATCTGAGAGCACTGAAGCATTACCTGTGCTGCTGTAGAACGCAAGCTTAGTTGTGGTGTGGAACTTCTGGATGAGAAACTGGGACAGAGAAATCTTGTCATCGGTGTTCAGCGACTCGTTGCCCTTCTTCCAGTAAAGCATAAGATCGTCGTCAGTGTACGCATCTGAAATAATAACACATTTAACCCGCATCAGCTGCTGCTAGTTCAAATAAATCACCGTCTTTGGTAGAAAAAGGGTTTGGCCTCTGCACATTTGCCCCACATGCATCTTATTTCTTCAGTTCAACAAAACCACATGCACATAGATGTCAGAGGAGGCTACGTGGATAAATGTGTGCTGTGTTTGTGTACGTACAGCTCTCGATCTCCAGTGAGCACGTCTGTGTGTCCAGAGGAAAGCGGCTCAGGTCCATGTTACACATGGCAGTGACGGTCACTCTACAACAACACAACAGTCAGATTCACCACATCGTCCAGTGGAAACATGAAGATATTTTGTCAATTTCCTTCCATAAATATATCTTAATGTTTGATTAGTAATATGCATTGCTAAGAACTTCATTTGAACAACTTTAAAGATGATTTTCTCAATATTTAGATTTTTTTGCACCCTCAGATTCCAGATTTTCAAATAGTTGTATCTCAGCCAAATATTGTGCTATCCTAACAAACCATACATCAATGGAAAGCAATGGAAAATTGACCCTTATGACTGGTTTTGTGCTCCAGGGTCACATTTGGTAAGAGCGCATCGGGTGAGAAGGAATGAGATGATTAGAGAGTCTCTTCATTGACTGAGATCATTAACATCTGTGACTGTTTCTGTCAGGTTGATCTGAAAGCGTTCACCTCAGACTGTAGAGCACGTTTCCGTCGGGATACACTCGTAGCATCAAGTTGTCTGTTGTCGTGTCGTGGATGAAAGATCTTTTGGACAACACAACAGTCAGATTCACCACATCGTCCAGTGGAAACATGAAGATATTTTGTCAATTTCCTTCCATAAATATATCTTAATGTTTGATTAGTAATATGCATTGCTAAGAACTTCATTTGAACAACTTTAAAGATGATTTTCTCAATATTTAGATTTTTTTGCACCCTCAGATTCCAGATTTTCAAATAGTTGTATCTCAGCCAAATATTGTGCTATCCTAACAAACCATACATCAATGGAAAGCAATGGAAAATTGACCCTTATGACTGGTTTTGTGCTCCAGGGTCACATTTGGTAAGAGCGCATCGAGTGAGAAGGAATGAGATGATTAGAGAGTCTCTTCATTGACTGAGATCATTAACATCTGTGACTGTTTCTGTCAGGTTGATCTGAAAGCGTTCACCTCAGACTGTAGAGCACGTTTCCGTCGGGATACACGCGTAGCATCAAGTTGTCTGTTGTCGTGTCGTGGATGAAAGATCTTTTGGAATGAACAAAGAACATGTCGGGCACCCAGATCTTCTTCACCAGCCGGCTGTCGAACGTCATGCTTTGATTATTGCTGCTCTGGAAGGACAAGCGCTCGTCTTTCCAGTAATGCCTCAAATACAGTGTCATGGTGAAATCCTGAGGAGAAACGCCAGATGGTAAAAACAATTAAAAGCGAAGCGAGAAGAGTTAAAGCAGCAGATGTTAGAGTCACTCGAGGTTGTGCGTCGCAGTGGTTTTACCACAGGTGAGGCATGACGCAAAGCATTACGACATCAATGTTACATTTAATGATTAATAACCACTAAACAGCAGAGTGCTACAGGAAATAGGACTTTAAACATGACTCGCAACTGATTTGATTACATTACTATTTTCTTTAGTAAAAACAAGATTCCCAAAATATACCGTAGTTACAATCCCAAGAATTTTATTTGACCAGTGACAGACAGTAATGTAGTATTTTTACTACTACTCCAGTTCATAAAACCATATCAATCCTTGTTATTTTAAACTGTAGAAATCAACACGCAGTGATAGCGATGTAGTGAATGAGCCGATTCCTTTCAGTGAATATGTCTGTCGATTCTAAGGATTTACAGAAGACTCACAATAATAACGGCATGCTCTTAATCGAGCGCTCACCATGTCAGCCTCAGAGATGGTGTCGAGACTTTCAACCTGAACATCCACACCTACTGGGATCGGAGGTCCTGTAAGAGCACAGGCAAAGGCAAAATTTGTGTTTCCACTCCTCACTTGTGTCGGTTATATTTTTACACATTAAAATTAAAGCATATATCATTATCATGAGATATTACAGTAGCGCAGCGCTCTCTTTCTGTTTGCAGACGGGATTTAATGCTGCAGTATCTGTGGCCTATTTTAGCTCAGACTCACTATCGTCTGTGACACGAGCGCTCAAACACAAGTGGGTCACGACCAATCAAAGTGCTGCCGTCTCACATCTGGACACCCGGCTCTGTTTTCCTTTCCTCCACGCACACGACAAGCCAAAGCTGAAGAGCTCATGTAAAGAGTGTTGTAATGTTATCAGCAGTCAGTTATGATGCCTCCGTCATAAAGAAACTCGTGCTTTTCTCTTCAGTGGAAATGTCTTGTGAAGCTGGATTACGAGGGTGTTTTCACATGCAGCGTCACCGTGGGTTTGATTCCTGATAAAAATGCATACCTTTGAACTAAAGAGCCTGACAAATGCATAAATGTGTGTCTATTGTTTTAGGTAGAGTTGGACAGCATAACATGAACTAAACAATTAGAAGCATCCATAAATACAAAGGATAATGTCAAGACAAACGTTCTGAGATGTGTTGCATCAAACGTCTGCAGTGTGTTAGCCGTGAAACCATAAACAACACAAGTCCGTGCGGGACTCGGCAATCACTGCAGATCTCTGGATGTTATACGTGGCTCATGCTCACCTCCAAATGCTGGTCTCATTGTAAAGTCATGGTCATCTATCCTCAACAGCTGCTCAGATTTGGTCATAGGAGACTTTGTCATGTCTGGACTTCTTCTGAAGATTGGGCTACAGTGACAATACGAGTAGAACTATTAGACAAAGCTGTCAGCTAAAGCTCTGTGTGGACGAGAGACTGAATGAGACGCTTCAAAAGATACATCCAACAGAGCATGGCAATTATAGATTATGATCTTAGAAGTTTGATTTCTTCTCCACAGCAAAAAAATATATTTAAAATCGTATAAAACCATAAAGTCTTTTAATAGAAATACTAACAAAAGACTGTGAGATCGTGTAAAGATCCAAATTGAATGATGTTGTACCTGCCAGACTTCTGGGCTCCTCCATCCACTCGTGTCGTTTCTCTCCGTAATCTGTGAGGAACAAAAAGAGAATGAAATGAAGTTCTGCTGAATCAATAGGATCCGCAGGCCTTTCTCCTGCATTTCTGCACTGATTCAGTGAAGCGGATGTAAACTTGATCGCATGTGTTCAGAGCTGAGAGGACTGCACTCATATTGCTCACATTTGACGAAATATTGAACAAACGAACACACAAACGCACAGGTGTCGCACTTCATCTGTGATATTGATCATTTGCGAGGCTGTTTCTTCAGTGTTTGCTTTAGTGCAGCACACATTTGTACTTTTCAATCTCTTCCAGCTTGTGTTGAACAGCATAATTCCCGAGCGTGCATCACATACATCTGAGCTGTTTTAAAGCACCTTTGATCAGAATCAGAATCAGAATGAGCTTTATTGCCAGGTATGTTTACACATACGAGGAATTTGTTTTCGTGACAGAAGCTCCACAGTGTAACAGAATGACAGTGACAGAACAAAAAACACAGATAATAAAAATAAAAATAGAACAAGTAAATAAGGAATAAAAATATATAAATTGACAATTGTGTGTGCAGGTATATTACAATAGACAGTTTTTTTTTGTATGTACAGGTACTGTATATTATGTGCAAATCTGAGGTGTAGACTGAGTATGTGTGTTAGATAAATAAGTGTATGAGTGAATAAATAGTGTGTGTTCCACGGTTAACTGATGTTCAGCTCAAATCAAACACATCATCCTCATCATTATGTGCAGATGACAGGCGTGAGCATGAAGTGATGTTTGATGTGATGTTGCTGGCTGCGGCCGCTCACAGGCAGCTAGTTAATAATCCGCTCAGCAGAAATCCTCTCTGTTCTCCAGAGCAAACCAGCAGTGTGTCTCCTCCACTGACACAACACTCGTCTGACATCGTGACAATCACATACCGGATCCGGACACAGGGAGATCATACACCCTTACAAATATAGTTTGGATATTGGCATCGATGGGTCCATAAACATCCATGGAACCCTTCCCTTGCACAAAAGGATCTTTATAGTGGGAAAAAAGCGCCTTCTGGACACATAAGAAGAGTAAGACCCACAAGAGTGAATGTGAAGCTTCAGACACTGATATGAAATCCTGCATTAATCAAGCAGGCAGACAGAATATCAGAAGATTTAAACAGACAACAAAACAGACTTGTTCATTTCATCATTATCTGTTTTCTATGTTCTATGCACTGCTTCTTGATGGAAGAAAGTGCAACTCTATTTCCCATCAGAGTTGATTTCATTCCTTTGCACTCGACAGGCCGCATTCACAACAGCAGCATTACCTGCTTTGCTTGTAGGGCTCCTGTCTGGGACCTCTTCTGTGGGCCGATCTTCCGGCGGCGCCCAGCACACAGACGCAGATGAACACAAACACAGTCTCCAGCTGCATGGTGCTCATATCCCTATTCAATGTTCACATCCTCGGCGCTCTGCAGCCCAAACGAACACGGACGTCTGTCCTGTTAACATCACACAGCTTAATCTCCACACTGGGAAAAGCAATTTGGACTAAACCCATAAATCCTTGAGCGTCAGATGGCACAGATTTGATCCCTCCAGTGGTGGATGCGCTCTGCTCCTGATGCGCCGCCCCAAACCAATTCTCCTAATGATACTGTGCTCTGCATTTCTCTGGCGAGGTCAGTCGTGAGGATGCTGACGAGAGAGACACTCGAGCTCCTTCATCTGCCTCTGAAAACACCGCTGAGACATTCCCTCCACACAGACTGTGTGTCTCCAGTAAAACACACAGTTGTCTGATTAAAGGAAGGAAGCATATTTTTGTCATTAAACTGAACATCACTACTACAATCCCAAATCTCTGGGTAAATGGGTGACTGTAATTCACATCTAGTAATTGCAAGGACTGATGCATGGCAGGCAGAAGAAAACAATGGCAGAGCAGTTGCTGTGGAATTATGAAATGAAAAAGCATGTGATAATCCTGAGCATCATCACAGAGAAGAGTAAGGGAAGAGTCACTGAGTAGACGCTTACAGTACATTTAACCCTTTAACCGTTTAGTCAACCGAGGGGCAAACTCAGGCGCTCCTCTTCCTCAACAAAGCCATTTCATGAGCTGAGAAACATTTTATAACAGTATCACTAAATTAAGAAACCAGTGGCATCTACGCTAATGTTTCCCAATGTCTCCCAAAGCGTTTTTCCTCTTGTATAACACCAAAATGTATTTATTTTTTGTCCGAGTTGCCTTTGTTTTGTTCACTGGGTGACTAAAGCACTAAAAAAAGTATTATGGATTTACACCACAAAATAAGTAATTATTTATCACATACATTATTAGTACATACCACAATATCTGTGTCAGCTTTAATCTGTAAAGCTGCTCTGTGTATTGTGAAAAGCGCTACACAAATAAACCTAATTGACTTGATCAGAAATTGAGGAAGGGAGATAAGATCACAGCGCCAGCTCTGAGTTTCTCATTTTCTGATCAATGATCCTCAAAGCCAAACCTTCAGTGTGTGTGTGTTTTAGACAGTCACTGATTCTTGAGACACGGGACAAAACATGCTCAGTAACTGCTATTAGGTTTAAAAATTGTAATATTTTCAATTGTAAATGTTATAAGGGATTAATAATAGAATGTATTTAACACAATTATCCCCTTCAATTTAATTTGAGCATTATTATATCAAATCTATGACACTTATTGTCTTCTCACTACATCTAAAACAGTGTCCACAGAGAAGGGCTCAGTCATTCATATGCTATAAAATGGATAAAAATGTATTTAAATTATGAAAAAGAGCTTGTTTTATCAAAGGCAACACTTAATAATATCTCATGTCAAAGCACGGTTGTTTTTCAATGACGCATGCATGTTTCAAACTTGTGTCCCCACTTTTTGTCAACACCGTCAGACATTTATTAAAATGTATTAAAATCAGGCAATATCAGGGGCAGCTGTCACTCTAAAGGACCCCCTTGCCACAGTTCACCTCTGCAGAGTACATCAGTGTCAGACAGACTCTGGTAAGGTTTATAGTTTTAGAATATTTTAAATGTTAATATTTCCTGTGTCACAATCATGATATGTCAACACCATCTTCCAATTTCTGCGGAAATAATTTGAAATGTTTAGAACATTTTATTCTCCTGAAGCAGGTTCTATTAGCATCTCGCATCAACAGAGAAATAAAAATGGCTACTACATGAACTCCATTTGTTTTGTGAAAGAAATGCCAAATTTGTCAGATGATGGGCCAATGATGGAGTTGACATTCAGCGTGAAGTCATCATATTTTTGTGGTTTTCAAGTCATTTTTAATTATATTAAATATAAAAGTGTTTAATTTTTCTAATAATGTATAAATACTAAATATGTGACCTGACAGCACATATTGCTTTTGTGGATTGATAGTCATCACGTCTAGCAGAGTAAGGGTTGAGGGAACATAAGGCTGAGGGAACCCAAAACACTGGATAAAACATATATTATATATACTATATAATTACTATATACATTACTATATAGTACATATACTATACAGTACAGTTCATATGTGTTCTGATCATTTTGGATCATTTTTTAAGATGTTTAAATGTGAATATTAAGATCCTGGTGAATGTAAATGGATAGAGGTAACAACTAATTTTTCATTTGTTCATATAACTGTTTTTAAAAGTTACCTTGTTACCATAGTAGATGCACAGCAGACATACTGTTCTGAGATGAGAGAAAATAGATCATTTGTGTTCCAAAGATATATCAAAATACTTAAATGTGAGTCTTGAAAAAAGCTTTATAAACAATAACATACTCACTGTTTGTTGTGTTTGTTTTAATACAGTAATTGATTGATTACATGTATTAGTTAAAATGACTACAAATTCAGGTTTTCATCATCACCATCAGATATGTCAACTCTGTCAGGTCTCTCACCTCCGTCAGATGAATATTTTGACAATATTTGATAATGATATTTTATATTTGTTGAGGAATTGTTGGTCACATGTGAAAATGTAATCTGTCTGCTAACATGAGAATGTGTTTTGAAATGTTTAAAAACATCTTGATTGCTTGATTGCAAAATAAGTGATGGCAAGGTAAAAAGCACATTTTGATAAAAAAGAGAAAAGTTGGGAGGTTGAATCAAAGCATAGCTCAGTAACTTGCAGTGTTCCCAACCCAGTTCCTAGAGGCACACCAACAGAACACATTTTGAGTGTCCCTTATCCCTAGAAGGACCCTTATCTGACCCATCCAGGTTTTGGGGTCTCTTCTGACGAGCTGATTCAGGTGTGTTTGATTAGGAAAAGTTGAAAATGTGTAGTGTCGGTGTGTCTCCAGAAACAGGGTTGGGAAACACTGATCTAAAGCAGTGATTCGGAAACAATGAACTATGGGAATTTGTCCTGATAACCTAAATAACAGATTACATTTCATGTCACAGAACATGGCTGAGACAGAACCAAAATTTAGTTCTTTAATGTAAAAAGGGGAAAATACAAAACAAAACTGAGCAATAACAACAGGGCCCAGACAGTCCTTTCCACTCCCTTTACACAGAGTCAGGAGTCTGTGTAGGGCACTAGCTACCTGGGCTCCATGTCGTCTCCGCAGGGGTCACCAAACTGTAATTTTTAGCAAGACTTGACAACACCAAGATGAGACTTCACACAAAATGAACCAGAACAGAATACAGTACACAGAAGGAATATAAAAGGAAGAGTAATCAGAAGAGTAACAGAAAAGCAGGTAGGGACTAATAACGAGAGGGACCAGACCAAAACATGAGACAATGGGAGCACATACTGTAGGCTATGTTCATGTTAATCCATATAAACTGAAACCGCATCTATTTCTCTCTGTTTTTTTGTTTTGTTCGTTTGTTTTTGTTTAGTTTTTTCCAGTAAAACCAAGGTTCTCCAAAATGGAAAAGGTTGTCTACGCATTGTAGTGTAGACTGTGGAAACTCAGGTAATCAAACCAGTGACAGCTTTAATCAGTCTTCATATCATGTTACTGCAAAGATAACAGAATATTTACTCGCAATTGCTGTTCTGTGGCAAAATAGATAACATTTGTGTATAAGACCATACATGGAATGTTGATTTTGAGGACAACAGAGTTAGAGAGCCAACTCTACTAAGTTTTCATTTCAGAAGACAATTAAAAAATATATGCTGAAAGAAATGTGTGTCAGGGTTTATCTGTTTCCATGTTTTTTATTGAGTTAATTTCATTGATTGGTTTGTTTGGGTATTTAAGCTCTCTGTCTCTTTCAGTTCATTGTCTGTTTTTGTCAATGTTTTAATGGTTGTTCTGTTCCCGCTGCTAGTGATTCCTGAGAGATATATATCCTGAGTATTTTTGTTATCTTTGGTTAGGGTTGTCAAAAGTAGGGACTTTTGTACCAGTCGGTACTGAAATTCAAAAAATGTGACAATACCAAATTTCCTGCTAGCATTTTGAGGGCTGTTGAGAGGATTCTTGAACACCTCTAATTAGCCATTGTGTTCACGTGCTCAACAGATATGTCTGTGATTGGCTACAATGAGCATCGCTTCACGCTCTTCATCGAGTGCTAACACAGATACACACAGGAGCATTTGAAAGCCGTGTCTATCAGAGGATCCCTAATATATCAGCTCATCCGCTGACAGATGCAGCTTTCAAACAGTCCTGTGTGTATCTGTGTTAGCGCTCGGTGAAGAGCGTGAAAGATGTATATTTACAAGAAGTTTCTGAAGCGATGATCGCAACAGACATCTGTTGAACGTGTGTCATAGTCATGGTTTCTGTCATGTCATGTGTTTCCCTTGCCCTCATGTGATCCTGCTATAGGTTCTTTCTTCTTCCTCTTGTTTAATGGTGAGTAACTCCTTAGGAGCATTATTGGTTCCTTTGTTCAATATGTCATGTTGTGATTGGTTGTTTTAGTCATATGTCTTGTTTCACATTGGTTGGATTGTCTCATGTGAACCATTTTGTTTGGTATATAGCCTCTTATTTTCCATTGTCTAGCTTTGTTCCTGTAACCTCTGTCGGTGAGTTCATGGTTCTGTTATGCCAAGTCTGTTCATGTCAAGTCAAGTCAGGTATTTGTTTGTTTGTATTTTGTATTTCACTTCTGTTCAATAAACTGCACTTGGGTTCACTATGCTCGCCTTCAGTAGTTCCCCCATTACAAATGGACTGCTGCCCATTAATCCTGTTTATTTTTCATTCATGTTTCAACAATTTGCTGACAGAAGAACAGGCTCTTAAGATATGGAGGAGGTTTTTGGAGCTTCAACATCTTGTCCACGACACCAGCCTCTGCATGTTTTTCTGGGCAGGTTTGAATCCACGGATAAAAGCACGTCTGCCCAGAGATGACTCTGGAGGGACATTCACGGAGCACCTGGACTGGATCCTGTTTCATTGCAGATCCTCCTTTGCAATCAGTGAGATGGAGAGGATCACAACACCACAGTCCACGCAGCGCAAATCATCCCTTCAGCCATGCCCACAGGGGAATAAAAGCCTGAGCCCACCGCAGACACAGAGCTTGAGTCTGCTGCAATGCTGGAGCCAGTGTCGACACCTGAACCATATATTGCCTCAGAGCCCGAGCTCAACGGAGTGTCTGACCAGGTGCATGAGCTGGCTACATCCTCTGTCCCTGAGGGAATGCTGTTGGAGTTTTAGAGGGTGACGTGGAGCCCTGATAGATTGAGAGAGTGAGTGTTTCCTGCCTGTTTCTTTCCCCTGCACTAAGCCTATTTCTTCACCCAGCATTGAATTTTTAGAATATGTGTTCCCACCCTGCCTCCCACTCCCAGTTCCTCTGCTTGATTCGAGTCTGCCAAGTGAAAGTTCTGTCTGTTCCAACTCGGCTGAGGAGGAAGTACCTGAGTTTCCTGCCTGTTCAACGTATTGGTTGATAGTCTATGATTGATGTCCATAGTCTATATGGACATGGTCCTGACATTTGTGTCTGTCTTGCATCATCCAAGAAAGCTGTTTGTGAATCCCTGTCTGCTCTGCCCAGTCATTTGCCTCCTCTCACGTTACCTGTTCGGTGCTCAGTGTACTCACCTCGGCGGACTGTTTGCCAACTTAACCAAGGGGTTTGACTCGTGTTCTCCACCTCAAACCTCAAGACCTGTAATTCCACCTCAGCCTGTTGAGCAGTCATCTCCACCTTGGCCTCCACCTGACCATCGTCCTTTTGACTCCACTAAGCTTCCTCATCCACCTTGGTTAGTTGCCTGTGCCACAGACTTCTGGTCCATCATCTGCACCTCGTCCCTCCACCCTTTCTGCTACGTCTGGCTCCTCCTTACGTCTGGCTCCACCTTAATCCTCAGTCGCTCCAGCTCCACCTAAGTCCTCCGATGCCCTGACTCCATCTTGTCTGCTCTTCATTGTTACATCGCCCTGCAGGACTTTTGGTGTCTCCCAGCCTCTGCAGTTCTTGAGAAAACTAAGAGACAAGGGAGCAGAACTGAGAACAAAGATGATACATACAACAGTGGATAAACAACAAACAATGAACACTGGAAACACAAGGGCTTATATACACAGGGGTGAAGGAGACACAGCTTAAAACAAATCAAACTAATCTCAGGGGAAACAGGAACAGCAACCACGCAAACTAGTTTGACAGAGCTCTTTAGGAGCAGATTCTAGATGCTCCACAAAAAGGAAACAAGCAATATAAAACAAACAGTCCAGGAAGGTGGTGGAGCAGTGGAAGACAAGAGGAGATAGTAGGGAAGACCTTTGGGGACCCGTGTGGTGCCAGCAGAGCAGGAGATTAAGGCAGAGCCAGCAGAGATGGAGAACATGAGGGTGGTGCCAACGTTGCAGACAGAGCCAGAGATGTGATATGGCAATATTGAAATGTCTTCTCCTGTTAAGCAAATGTAGGCTGAGACATGTCCTGACATGACCAAGGTGTAAAGGATTATGATGTTTTTTTTATATTATTATTTTAAATGTACCTTGAGCTTCACCTATAATGTTGGTAAAGATTTTTGAAAAGTTATTTTCTACCTTCATTCTGACCTAAAAACATGTCTTCAAATTACAAACGTGCAATGGTGGTGCAAGCAAATAACCTGTCCCTTGCCCCGAAAACCTAACGCCGCCCAGATCATGGAAGACACATATACTGTAGATGAGGTTGATTAAAAAAGTAGCAGAATCATGCAATGAAGACTAGCTGGGGAAAAAATACTTCACCCACCCCTGCTGTCCATGGTTGTGGGTGAATCCGAAGTATGTACAGGGATAGAAGTCCGAACTGAGTGCAGGTTTTTCAGACAGAGAATTCCTCCAGAATCTCTGCCCTGCCCCACAAGGCTGAAGACGACTACTTTGGCTAGGGTGCCCGCCAGGGTGAGGGTATGATACTAAAAAGTAGATAGATACCCCTAAAAAGAGACCCTGGAGCTCAGCTTTCGTGGCTAATAAGAACTGTCAATTCCTAGAGTAGCAGTCATCAACAGTGTTGGGCAGTAACAACGCGTTACTGTAACGCAGTTACTTTTGACAGTAACTAATACTGTAATGCATTACTTTTTAAATAAATTAACTCCGTTACCGTTACCATATGGTGCATTGTCCGTTACTTTTTTAAATGAATTAATTTTGGCTGAAGTGTAGCCTACAGCCTAACCTGTTTACAGCAGCGACGCATTGTAGGATTGGTGGATGCCAACCACTGTAAAAATGAAGACGCACTGTGGGCGTGTTTCCGTTTATTCAAGTATGTGCGGCAGTCATGGCGAGTCAAGGCAAGAGCAAGACGAGTTTCTCAAAGTGGAAATATGCTCATTATTTCACTTTAGTTGAGCATAAAGACAAAAAACTTTTAGTCAAATGTAAGCTGTGTCTTTCTGGTTCGAAGGTCCTATCTACTGCGATAAACAGCAACTCCAATCTGTCGAAGCACCTCCAGAAAGTACATGCCTCGACGAAGCTAGAAGCTAACCCGGTGTCGGTGGACACACTCGAAGTGAGTCAAGCCCCTCCAGCCAAACAACAGCGACTAGATTTTAACCAGACTGTTAGCCAGGGTCAGGGACAGATCAACAAAGCTATTGCACGGTATGTTGTTGAAAACATGCAGCCTGTCTCTACTGTGGAGTCGCCGGCTTTCAGGCAGCTCGTTAGCATGATAACATGTTCAGGCGGCACACAGCAAATGGGACGAAAAACTTTTTCCAACTACTTGGATAAAGAATATTCAAAAATGGAAAGTGAGCTGAAGACAACATTTGAGGGGCTAGACTACATCGCGACCACTGCAGACATTTGGTCTGTCCACAACAAAAGCTTCCTAGGCTTGACAGCCCACTGGATAAACACGCTACTCTTCAACGCCAGAAAGCTGTGTTGGCCTGTAAAAGGATCAAAGGTAGACACACGTATGATGTCATTGCTGCTGAGATCAATCACATTCATTCATTATATGGACTGTCAACGAAAGTTACAGCTACGGTTACTGATAACGGCTCTAACTTTGTAAAAGCCTTCCAAATGTATCAGCCGGAATCGCTCTCTGACGATGATGATGATGAAGAGGTTACCTTCACAAATGTTGCAGACGTGCTTGACACCTCCACAGAGGAGGGGATTGTTTTACCACCACACCTGAGGTGTGCCTCTCACACACTTAACTTAATTTCATGCTCTGATGTGGACAAGTGGCTGCTTTCAAATCCTGGGACTAAAGGAATTTACAGAAGTGCTACCGCCAAGTGCACAGCACTGTGGAGTAAGGCTAGCCGGTCGACTTTGGCTTCAGAGTTAGTGGGCGATTTGGTTGGCAAAAAACTGCTTGTGCCATGCTCCACAAGGTGGAATTCATTTTATGATGCTGTGGCAAGAATAGTTGAAATACCCATGACTGACTTGAGTACCATCTCTAATCGTTTAGAGCTAAAATGTATTGGTGAGAGGGAGTTTCAGTTTCTGAGGGAATACTGTGCCATCATGAAGCCTCTCACAGTTGCTCTGGATATCCTGCAAGGAGAAGAAAACTGTTACTATGGCACCCTCCTGCCCACAATAGAAGTTTTGATGTCGAAGCTACTGGAGATAAGAGAAGGCCTGATTATTGCAACTGGCCTACCTGATGCCATAGTTCAGGTAAGAAACATTCATCAATATTCAAAAGAAGTTTATAGATGTAAACATTAATATTTTTAGCTGAGCAAGCACCAATATAGCCTAAGAAATGGAAAGAATGTAAAGTGCACAACATAATTTTTGATTCTATTCACACACACACACACACACACACACACACACTGTACTGCACCTACCCACTGGATGAAAAATAAACAGTAATAATACCATAATTCCTTTTTTGCAAAATAAAGTTTTAGTTTTGTCCAATCAGTTGCACATATATTTTCACTTTCTTAATGTGTGTGTTTTTGTGATGTTTAAATGATTTTATAACTCATATCTATAGGTCAAAAATCACATAGTGGTGTACAGCTTTCATAGAATGTACATAGAGGGAATCTTTCACTCATTCTAATATCTGTCACTGTGGGGTTTTTTTTGCAGGCAATCAAAACACGATTTGCATCCGTCTTGGAAAGCAACGATGCAATACTGGCAGCTGTCACACTTCCTATGTTCAAACTGCGATGGTTGAGAGACCAGAGGAAGAAAGAGATGGTCAAAGGAATGCTGGCAGCAGAGTGTCACAAGCTCATCCCTCGCCCTGGCCCTGTTCAGCAAGCAGCCAAGATGCCTGTGTCTCCGACAACACCAGACTCAAGCTCCTATAATGTGCAGGACTTTTTCTGTTTTGAGGAGGCTGATGATACCTTCAGCACTGTGGAAACTGAAGTAATGACCTACTTGAGAACAGCCGAAACAGGGATGGAGATTCTTAAACAATTTCCCACAATAAAGGAAATTTCTCTGAAGAAAAATGCAGCTACTCCATCCAGTGCACCTGTTGAGAAACTTTTCAGCCTGGGAAGTCTGGTACTGTCTCCAAAGAGGAACAAGCTGTCTGACCAAAGGTTTGAGAGACTTCTTCTCATGCGGTACAACCACTGGTTTGAAGGGTAAAACTCAACTTAAATGTTCATTCAGGTCCTTGCTAGTAAGCACCTTTTGTTGTTTCAAATAAATAAGCACACATTTGTTATTAAAAATATTTGTTTGTTAAAAATAATGGTTAGTTTAGTAGCCACAGTGACATTTCTGTTATATCTTACAACACTAATTTTATGCATTATAAAATGCATTACGTTGTATTGCTAGGAAAAATGCTGTTTTTACATTTTTATGGACATATACAACAGCAGATTTTGCACTTTGAATAC